TGATTGATAAAAACATTGTTTGGATTTAATATGTTTTGTTGCCAGTGGTGCCCAGTAGATAGGAAGGCTAGGGCAATATCTTCACCTGCTTGATAAATTTCAAACAGATTTTGATCTGATCGTCTAATTTATTTTTAAGCCTTTAATTATACTTTCTTATTTGAGTACCCATGTTTTAGTTTGGAATTAGTCATCAGAATAAGAATGAGGCTATGGGTTGGCTTAGCTTCTCATTACTGGCTCTAACATTACTCCTGTCTCTTGCAGATAAAGCTGTCATGGCTCCTAATCTAGACTCATTTGGCCGAGATCGCGCAGCATACCAAGAGCACAGTCGTCAGAGGAGGATAGCTGAAAGAGAAGCACGAAGGTACCAACTTGTTCTCACATTCCTCTCCCTGTGGAAATGCTGTATTGTGCTGTACTTTTGGCCACAAATGCGAAGCCAATTACAGTTACACAGAAACGTATAATGTGAATCCAGCTATAGATTTGTAAAAAAAAAAAGGTTTTCTGTGCATCAGATTTTAAGTCTTGACCATGAGAGTGTCACCTTAGTGCCAAGTTGGTAAAAGACAATTTCTGCTCATGTTTTTAATTTGGCTTCCTTTGTATTCGTGGATGAATACAGGACACGTCGACGACAAGCCAGAGAGCAGAATGGAAAGAGGGCAGAACATAAAGAAGGCTTATCATCTGATGACGAGGAGACTTCTACTGACATCACCAGCTTCAACATGGAGAGAGGTATGTTCCTGTATTTAAAAATAAATAAATAAAAAATACATTAAAAAGTAAATGTATATTGTATGCAGTGTTCAACAATGTTAACTAAAAAAAAAAAAAGAAATCTGTCAAAATCTTGTTTAAATTTAACAAACTGAATTCAATGAATTTCTCTGAAATAAGTCAAATTATTTGAATATAACATTCAACAAGAAAACAAATGGTTTTCTGTTTAGGAATATAAGTTTAAAAAAAACTGCACCAAAGATGTGCGTTAATATTTTTCCTGCCTTTTTTAGTAAACAAAGAGTAAATTTGAAAATGAATGAAAAATAGTAGTTATATTTTTGCATTGAAAGTATCGTTTTGATTAAAGAGCCTGTGCACACTGGTTACAGAAACCTAAAAATGATTTAGGTAATTATCAATACTGTTAATTTAGGGCAGCTGTGGCATTTACCTTACATTGGTTGTTAGTCTAATAAATGTATTACGTACCATACATATGAGATTCAACTGATATTGAAAATAATTTTTTAAAATCTGACGTGATCTCTTTGTGCTACCCAGATCGTATAATAAGGGAAAGTAAGAAGGTATTTGAGGATGTTGTGGAGGACTTTCATTCTCTCGACTACATCAAATCCCACTTTGAAGTGTGGAGGAAGGAGTATGCCAACACCTACAGAGATGCTTACATAGGCCTCTGTCTGCCCAAGCTCTTTAACCCCTTAGTCCGTCTGCAGCTGATTACATGGAACCCTCTCGAGGTAGGGCATGGGTGTATTATCAGTGTAACCAGTTCCTTTTTGAAAGGAAATTGGATGAGGAATGGTGATGGAATCTTTTTTTTTCTCTATTCACTGTGCAGGCGCAGTGTGCAAACTTTGAGTACATGCTCTGGTTTGAGTCGCTGCTGTTTTACGGCTTTGAAGAGAACAGCACGTTGCAAAAAGGAGATGGCGACATCGGCTTGCTGCCTGCTATAGTGGAGAAGGTCATCCTCTCCAAACTGTCAGGTTCGAGGCATAGCATGCTCAGAGATGTCCTTGGCTTGCAAGCCTGTAGAAAATTACTCCTACTATATGCATTTCTCTCTACTTTGTGCATGTGGCAGTGTTGGCAGAGCAGGTGTGGGACCCACTTTCCAGCAGTCAAACAACCAGGTTTGTGAGCTTCATTCACAGACTGCTAAAAGGCTATCCCACTGTGCTGCACGGGGACAACCGATACACACAGGTACTCCCCACCCTCATCATCTTTTTCCTCAAAATACATTGGCTGTTAGATTACCTGATATTTTTAGAAGAACTGCTGTCATTACCTTGATTCCCCCCCCCCCCCCCCCCCCCCCCCCCCCCCCCCCCTTCTTTTAGGAGCTATTGAAAACAATTGTCTTACGGACCAGGAGGACTCTGGATGAAGATGTCTTTCTTCCACTGTACCCCAAGAAGTATGTTCTTATTAATAACAATATTAACATTTTGATTCCACTTAGTATTTTTTCTATATTTACAATAAGCACTTAAAGCTGCTTAAAGCAATCTCTCTTGCTTTTATTCAGCATCCTGGAGAACAAGAACAGTGGTCCCTACTTATTCTATCAGAGGCAGTTCTGGTCCTGTGTGAAGGTATGTGTGCAAATGTGTGTTCTTTTTGGTGTGTGTGTGTGTGTGTGTGTGTGTGTGTGTGTGTGTGTGTGTGTGTGTGTGTGTGTGTGTGTGTGTGTGTGTGTGTGTGTGTCTTTAAATTACTTCCTCCAGTCAGTTGCTGAACTGATAGCATCACATGAATAGCTTGCCTGATTGTTGGAGATCACACAATGAGATCTGTATAATTTGAAAAGCAGCTGCAGCGGGCTGATAATCAAAGTATCTTCACACTGATATTATGTACTTTTGTGTTGCTGCCTTTGAGTCCAGTCTAACTCTTGTCTCCTTCATGCTTAGCTGCTGGGCAACATCCTGCAGTGGGACGGTATCTTATCCATGTCCTCTCTGAAAGACTTGGCCTTGGACAGCACTCTCAACCGATATATCCTCTCTGCACTGCAGACCACAGATACATGGGAGGAAAATATTCAGAAGTGCCAAAAGGTAGATAAAATGTAATCACTTAGTAGGGGTGGATTTCATTCAATAGATAAATCAGATTAAACTGAGCATTGCAGATTTCTTTTACTTAACAAAATATCCTTCCATCCATCATGAACGCATATTATGTGTGAGAACATTGTACCGATATCACTACGTCTGTGTAGGTTCTCAGTCATCACTACTTCACTTGTTTTTGAGAAAAACTGAATTTAGAACTTTTCTCTGACCGTGGTTTTACTTGTCATATATAGTTTTAAACTGATAACTGCGCTTTCAGTTGATTTGTTTTAAAAGTGCTGTAAACCTTGATATTCCAAAGCAGATGAGGAGATTTCACATTTGGTAATATAAGAATTAGTGACACAAATTTTTGGTCCTACCTATTAAATTTTGTTTAAAATGATATATTTTACAAACTGTAAAAATTACTGCTCACAAACTGTGAGGCAGTAATTTTAGTTTGCTCATGTGACAAACTGTGATCGATACATAATTTTTTTCCCCACCTTGCATACTCGTTATTTACAACCATGTAAAATACAATAAGATTTGTTGGCTGAGATCATTGTGGTAAAGAGTGAGCATGCACAGACAAAATATTTTGAAGGAGGGGTCTGTTGTACCTGTTTATGACTACATGGTCAGTTGCTATTTTTAAGTCGCATGATTATTAAAAACTGGCCCTTCTGCTGGGGTGTTAGATGTTAGTTGGTTATCTTTTTACCATTAGTGGCTCGCTGAACATGATAACACAAAGCTATTGTTTAATTCGTTCTCGTGTGCTTCTCAGGTGGTGGAGTGCTTGCCATCGCACTGGTTTTCTGGATTGAAGGGCCAGCAGACGTTGCCTCAGTTGGAGCCATTCTGTCGCTACCTCACCCACCTGGCCAACTCAATCCACCGCAGCGCACTGGTCGGGTCTGATATTGAGCGGCGCACTTCAAAGTAAGGACCTCTACACGGCTTTGTATATACAACTTGGCGCCTTGAATTTACTAATGGCTATATCTGCAAGAATGGTATTGAATGTGCTTTAGGAACAATTGCATTGTCGGTGTTGTTTTATCATATTAACTCTTCCTTTTTCACAATGAGTGCTTTTAAGCTGTGTTGTAATGAGTATTTTTTGTAGTGCTCATAGTGCATGTCATGTCATGTCTTACAACAGGGAGCAGGTCAAAGATGTTGTGAAGATGTTGGGCCAAATGAATGCCCTGGACCACATCATAGCTGTGGCAGCAGAGCATGGGATTAAAGACATCAAACCACTTTTAGAAGTCAAATCATAGAGGAGAAGCAACTTTTCATCCGGATTACAGATCACTAAATGGGATTCCCAGAGAAGGGACGTGTCACCCAGCTTAATAACTCAACAACTGAGACCATGACTGAAAAAAAGATCTTGTAAATATTGTATATATTGTATTGTATAGAAAGGTGTGTTTATACTGATGCTGAAATTAGGCCTTGTATTGTCAGCTCAAAGAGACTGTTCACTGCTGGCAATATTTTAAATGTGTAGAAGTTCTTGACATGGATTATTTTTTGAGACTGATTCCTGAATGAACACTATTCACTCCAACTCTGTACAGCAGACTCATCTTTGCCATACGAGCTAAAAGGTCGGATGCACGCAGGCAAAGAATGGTATCCAACTTTTGTTTCCTAACAGTCCAGATGTGATCTTTCTGTGATCCCTGCTTCATCCTGTTAGTATTCCTCACACCTCTCTGTTTAAATGCTCTTTAAGAATCTGAGGGCTTTGTTTTCAGCTTTGCAAGAATTCTGTTTTAGCCGTTTATTTGCCTGTAAATAAAATGAACATTTGAATGATTCTGTCTTGCTGCCATTAAGCAACAACTGTCCCTCACGATGTCGTGTTTTATGTAAGTATTATGATCATAAAAGAACAATCCAAACTTACACCCAGTGTTCTTCACCGTAGGGTTTTTAAAACTACAATATCTCTTTAAACTTGGGGGAAATGGGTATCACTGATTTATTTAAAATGATAACATGGAAAACGTTTTCAAAAAATTGCAAACCGCCAGTTTCTACACTCTTGGCAACTCTGTTTATGTAAAATGATACTTTGTTACTGACTTCAGCCAGCTGCCACATGTGGGATTTGGTGTCATCCAGTGCGATTTCAGCCAGGAGGCGATTGCGCAATAGTAAAGAGCGGGTGGGACAAGCTGTTTTTGCCTTTCTATCCCCTCCTCTAGCTCAACTACCTAGACATAGCCACTCAAGACCTAAATATATCTTTTCTACATTTAAAGACGAGACTTTCCTGACCAGCGTCGTGTGAGACAAGAGTTTGGGGGTTCTACAGCTTCCTCTTCTCGGGCCTCCCAGGGAAACTGTAAATACCTCTCCTCCTTATGCCCGTTAAGGTAAAGTACTGCTTACAATAGCTACGTAGCGACTGCATGAAAGTGATCGGGCACTTAACACTACTGTATAGCAGGCTTGACTGCTGTCCAAGTTAGTGTTAGGGATCTTTGAGGAGACTCATTTTCCTGTGTACATTTGAGTAAAGCGAATAGGGGGTCCATGCTGTAAAACACATGCTCTTTTCACTCGGACCCCCATTTTTACTGCTCGGTTGTCTGTGCTGCCGTCTTCTGCAGCGTGTCTGTGTGCAACTGTATCCTAGTTAAGGAAGCTTCTGTTAATTCTACATTAAGGGGGTACTTGTGATGCATCCTTTGAAGATGCAATCACACAAAATGAACTGCAATTCCCGGACACGTGACTCTAAGTTATCCAACGGTGGCCTGATGCGTGCAAGGATTCTTGCCATGTAAGATCTGGAGCACCGTGCAGGATTTAAAACTGCTCTAAACCCAGGACTGAGTGGGACCTGAACCTGAACTATCAATCGGTGGTCTTCCTCTTGTCCTCGATCGAGGACAGTAACAGTAGAAATTAAAATCACCGACGCCCCGATTTGACATTACTCCGATTTCCAGTTGTACAATAACCTTTTGTTTTCAGTACAGCTGTCCGGGAGTACATAGCTACTGTAAAGCTCATTTAAATTGCAATTTATAGACAAATTGCAGCAAGATTGTTGCTATCGTAAACCCCGTTTATTGACGAACTTCAGAGAGACAGCGTTTGATATTTTTGTAATTACTACAATAGTTACATTACTTATTTTCCCCAAAGCAGGCTTTTGGCTTGAGAGTCTGGGTTGTTTCCCAGTGTCTCTCTCTCTCTGTCATACACACACACACACACACACACACACACACACACACACACACACACACACACACACACTTTTATTTTGAAGTCTACACCCCCACCCCCTTTCCCTCCCCTCACTATTTTCAGCAAAATGGCACCCACTGTCTCAAGGGTATGTATTTTATGAAAGAACCTCAAACTGACCTGTGGAAAACATTACTAACCCTGTCATCATGATGCATTAGAATAATAAAAAAAAATGAAGCTGGTTCTTAAATTAGAGAAATCACAAGTTTATTGTTTTAATATTGTTCCACTTATTAGAAAATACAATAAAGAATAAGTACTTCATACAACAACATGTGAGTGAAAATAAAGTAATTCATTGGAAAAACAAATTTTAAATGGTCTAAGCCCCCTGACTATTGCAATGATGGCAACAGATTGCTTTTAATTATGACTTCTTCTTATAAGAGATTGGTACATATAACCTATCAGGTCTATTTTTCATGTTTTTTTTTTATTTCTTTTTTTTTGGTTTACTCCTGAGCAGAAATGTCTGTCTCCAGCATTTGTGCTCAGCCAGTGTCCCGTTGATCAGTCTCAATAGGGAAGATGTGATTAAAAGTGTGGATGCTGCAATCTCAAGAGTTCCATCTGGCACTCCTATGCAACCTCTCAACATAGTCTTCCCCATTGTTCATCTTTCTCTACATAATTTGCTTAGGGATTAAAACAGTATTCTGATTCTTACTTTGTGGTGAGCTATAATTGTCCTACATCCAACAATGGAACCCTTTTTAAATCACAATGATCTTTCAGATTGGTCAGAGACTCTTACTCACATTGTCTAATCAGTCATTAAATTTTTTTTAAGACTCTGGTTTGATTTGGTGAGTCTTGCTAAGGACTTCACTGTGGTCCTAGACTTTGTGCAGGGGTGCAGTGTTTGGCTGGAGGGTGAGGACGGCATTGCTAAGCAGAATGGGTGGTCCTAGAGTAAAGACAGTGGAGTTTAGCTGCAAGGCCAGAAGGATATTGCTGCAAGGATGGGTAGTCCTGCAGTAAAGGCAGTGATACCGCACCTGGGTGCCGTGCTGAGCTAGGGAGCAAAGTGTTTATTGTTGGGGAGGGTGTGTGGTCGTAAAGTAGAGCCAGTGGCGCACAGTTGGAGAGCGAGGATGATCGTGCTGGTGAGGACAGATGGTCCTGAAGCAACAGCAGTGGTGTAACACGGGAAGGCAAGGATGATTTTGCTGAGCAAGGTGGGTTGTTCTGGAATAAGGGCTGTAGCGCATAGATGGAGGGCGAGGATGATTTTGCAGAGGAGGACAGGTGGTCCTAGAGTGAGAATGGCGCCTCACTTGGATGCTGTGCTCAGCTCGAGGGCAAGGTTGATTTTGCTGGGTAGCATGGCTGGTCCTGGAGGATGGTTGCTGCAGAGACCTGCACACAGGTACCACCAGTCGTTACTGACAGATGCTCATCTTCTGAAAGCAAGAGTTAACACTGCAAAACAATCAAGCCATGTACCAAATTATTGACTCACTCATCTGAATACAACATTTTCCACATAAAGCGAGATACAGAACATATGCTCACAGTGGAAATGTGTTGTATGTGGAGAACCAGTGTTTCAAAAGAGAAGTAATATCTTACTCGAAGCTGTAGGGGTACAGCGCGATATGTGGCGCAGTGTTGTGAAGTCGTGCTGCAGCACCTGACTGGGCGTCATCCGTCTTTCAGGATCAAGCTGAAGCATTCCTTTAAGCAGCTCGATAAACACCAGCAGATCACAGATTTCTGCGGATTTACTGGTATAATTTTGATGACGTGTGAACCAGAGCTGAAACATCAAAGAAAGAAAAGGCCCCTAAAAACTCTGAATTTTAAGTTGTTTCTTTTTGGGAGTTTTGTTTAAATATTTATTCTATAAATAAAATCTATATTTAGTTTTAAACATACAAAATAGAACAGTCAAGAAGTACACCTACATTTTTAAGGTCATCAAGAGAGGTCAACTTCATCATCCTTTTCTCAGTGAACTTAATCCCTGTCTCACTGACAAACTGCTCAGGTGTCTGAAAAGACAGGAAACTCATCAACACTGATAAATTGTAAATTTGTAAAGTAAAAAATTGTAAAGTACTAAGAACCTTGAGTTTCCACGTGCTGGTGGTGAAATACAACTGCGTGTTGAAATAAAAGGCAGTCTTGAGCCCACTGTCGAGGATCTTGCCTGGAGGCTGGCCCTGAGTCTCCACTATGTACCTCATCTGGAAATACAGACCAATTGGTCAAATTCAGAGTCCAACAACTTTAACATAATGTGTTGTAATCCTTTAAATAAAGCTTTAAGTTCTTCAAAGGAGAAGCGCTAGTTATACTTACCACCTCATATTCATTCTCACCAGGGTAGAGCATGGAGCCAAGGTACAGATTAGCAGCAATGCAGCCCAGAGACCATACATCTATGGCCTCTGTAAATGGAGCCCCGAGAATAATCTCTGGGGACCTGATTTAGGACAAACAGGAAAAACAGCAACTGTCAATTATTAACAACAAAAGTGACAACTGGATTAGTTATACAGCCAAGAAGCCCATCACAGAAACAGCAGGGGAGTATCCAGTATTGACCTTTAAGAGAAAAAGCCACTTTGGTTACAGCTACTAACCGGTATGAACGGGACTGAATGCAAGAGCCCATCAAGGCAGCGGAGGTTTCACATGCCAAGCTAAAGTCAATCACTTTGACCCTATAAGGTTGTTTCTGATGGTTGACAAGCATCACATTTTCCAGCTTGAGGTCTGCATGTATCAAACGTACAGACTTCAAATGATCCAGTGCTTTCGCAATCTAAAAAAAACCCCCAAAAAAAACAAAAAACCACACACCTTTGTATTAATGTAATCAGCATCCATCTGAAAAACTTTATTTATGTAGAGAATACAGTTAAACACACCTGCTGGGTGATGGCTCTAACTGAGTTTAGAGCGAGTGGTCGGAATTGTCTTTCCTTCATGAATTCATAAAGGTTCTTGTCCAAAAGCTCGAATTCGAGACATAATTTTTGCCCATCGGTAAGAACGTTGTAAAACTGAACCAAGTTATACCTTTCAGATTTGTACAACTTTAACTTCAGCAGGGCAGCCACCTGGCAACATATGAGTTTTAGCTTCAAGTAAATATTTTAGAGGAATTTCTTCAAATACAATTGTTGGATTAACTGCATCAAGCCAAGTCTTTCCTACCTCCAAGTTTGCCAGTCCATTTCTGAAGCAATCAGTCTTAACTATTTTGATGGCTACGCTCTTCATGTCATTGAGCCTAATGAATTTTCCAACCGTGCCATAGACTCCTTCTCCCAGGGTAGTTATCATCTGGTACCGTGAAGCTCCAGTTAAGTGCCAGCCTATGGGAAGTAATCGGTTGATCTGGGCAATTTTATGGGCATCTCTGGCATCATAACACCTAAAAAGAAAAAAACGTTATAAAGGAAAAAAAATCCTAAAAAACGAACAAACAAAAATTTAAAAAGTAATTTAAAACTTCATTTCTTACAATGTAGACAAATTTTCATAATAACAGCAGGTGATATTAGAGGAAAAAGTGAAACAAAGCATTGTGATTGTAAACCGATCATCTGCTGTCATGAGCTAGTTAACCAGAAAGCAAACTAAATACTTGGCAAGTTAATGTCCTTGATTTATCTCAGTAGTTTCACCTTAAAAATTACTTTGATGAATATCGAGTGAACAAGTTCTGCATACTACAGTGCTTGGAGTTTTTTAGTACTGAAATGGAAAGGTTTGGTGAAGCTGTTTTTTTAGGTCACAAGTCAGGGGTCTGACTGGACTTCAATAAATAAGTCTTACAGTTAACGTTATTTTGACCTGTCACAAATATTGATTTGGTGATGTCTAAAGGTTCATTCTTGGAGAGTACAAAACTTCAAACATTAGCCATTTCAAATGAGAGAAGACAGTTTTTACCTATAAAACAAATTAGAGCCACAGAGCCGAGCTCATTTGGCCCAGGTGAAACTCATGCACCTAATTACCCTCCAGTTATCTCCTGCAGAATAAAGCATGGCACAAAATCCAAAAGATAGAGATCTAGTATCCATGCAACATCACAAACCACACCTTCAAAGTGTAGGGGCTCTGAAAGCGAGTCTCATACGAGATACATTTCAATCCAGCATTATGTTTCATTTTATGTTCTTATTAAAAACCTTATTAATATTATAACAGGTGCATTAAGTACTGACAGCCAAATAATTTTAAGAGCTGATTTGCACATGTAAAGTTACATTAAGGGTTGCCTTACATTAAGGGTGCAGACGCATTATAAGCCTGCATGTGGCCTGCATGCACTAGGTCAGGGGTGTCGAACTGCAGTCCTCAAGTCATTCTTTGTTGACAATAAACTTATTTGAATATTTATTAGGACTGCCACTAATGATTATTTTTTATTATAGATTAATCCACTTATTTTTTTTCCATTGATTGAATGTTTTGCACAAGCCATAATCCAAAGTTGTAAAGGCCTTAGCAACTTTAGCTGACCAACATTTCCTTGATTGCCCTATTAGATTTATTACCTTATTAGATTCACAAGAACAACCAAGAAACTTGCTAACACTTAAAACACAAGCCCATAGGAGCAGTAGACAATGCATCTTTGGGAGAAATTGCAATGGGATGTTGCTACTTCCAGAGTTGGTCTGTGGCTTAGTGCTAAGAAGCCAGACAGAAAATGGGAGGGAGAGAAGTTTGTTCTTATATCATAAAATGTTAAAAACAATTAAATTTTGTTTTTAAAATCTGGAACATTCAAGTATGCTAAAGTGTACTTAGTATATCATTTAGGCAGACTTTAAGATTAAAGCCTACTGGTTACACTGTAACTAACACTATGATATTTTAAATGGAGGTTTGTTAAAGTTGCTCCTTGTGTGATTATAGATGCAGTGAGAGTCATGTTTCCCTTGCCGCCATATGTCATGACATCTTAAAACCTTCAACCTGAAAGTAGACAGAGGACGTTCAAGAAGGTGAGCTGCTGTTCTTGTTGTTATTCTACTGCTGCTTCACATAAAGAAAATACATTTTATTAGTGGACTCAATGATACTTTATGGTCAGACCTTGTCTTTGTTAGACACGGGAAGCCAAACTAGATTAATCAATAAAGTACATCTAGCAACAGTCCAAAACGGTGGCGTTAGACGCTGCTCAACTGCAGGATGAGATCCTCTCTTTTTTCAGTGACCAAGCTAGCAAACCAACTTGTAAGTCAAACATTAGCTGGGAGGGCCTGAAGTAGCTGGGGAACAGTGACCACACTGAACCTAGGTATTTAATGAATGCAAAGTTTCATCAGTAAAAGCAAACATGCTATAAGGAATATCTAACTTTTATTGGGGTGGCTGCCGCTCAGGAGAAGCAGTTCATCCTCTAATGGGAATATTGGTGGTCCGATTCTTGGCTGCTCCAGTCTGCACGCCAAAGCGTTTTAGGTAGAACGCAGTTAAGCTTATATAAGAAACAGTCCATTTACCATTTATAGAGCTATCTACACTTTGGTCAGATACATTTTTAGAAATTTCTGTTTAATTCTGGAAGGATGACAGATTTTAATATTGATAAGATGAGTCACTACTAACGAATCCAAAATAGATCCGGTCCAGATGGGGCTGATTATTTGATCCTTATCTGTTCTGCGTCCATCCTGATGTGCAGGTGGACTGTGATCTGGACCTGGTTTGCAGATCCACTACAGAGCCTATGATATCTCTAGGTTGGATCTGAGCCAGGGTCATTTTGCTATTTAAAAGTAGCCTAAACCCAGGATTGAGAAGGTCTTGAACCCGAATGTGTCGTGTGGCCTTGGTGGAGTTTCGGCAATCTAAATTAGAGTGAAAGCAGAAAGTGGCCACTAACATCTGACTGCAAACCATAAGTAGGAGTAAAGTAAAGGTGTTGTGCAGTAAGTACCATAATGGAAAACATAACACATCTTCAAACTGATTCAGATCCTGCTTTGGTTAGTATGAAGGTGTTAAGAGTTAAATACTTGTCTCCTAATTGGATACTGACTTGTCAAGTCGACATTTTATTCTATTTTCTGCAAAAAACAAAACAAAACTCAAATAAAGTGGAATATCTATTGTTTTGCTATTACCACAATGAGTTTTTTGTATTTATGCTTATATTCTTGAGAAAAATAGAGAGGCTCATTATACAGTAACATATAATCGACAAGAGTTCATGTTATAAAGGCATTTAAAGAAAGAGTAATCTGACCTTTCAGATCTAGACCATTGCAGCTCAGACCAGCTCGAGTCAGTCTAACTTTAGCACCCCTGAATGTGGGTCACTAGTGGTGAAGTTGCTGACTGTGTTAGTCTATCTGCAACCCCTACACACTTAAATAAGTGTGTGTGTCTGTGTGTTTGTTTGTATGTGTGTGTGTGTGTGTGTAAGCTTTCCAGGATCACTGAGATTATGGAGGCTTCCGCACCATGAAGGGCTTATTCATATTTCCTCATTACTGTGTCTCTACCTGATTTGTGGCTTCTATTTATACCCATCACAGTTATGAGTAACACACTCAGACATTGTGTGTTCCTGCTTTTGGAATTGATTTGTTGCTGAAATAGGAATGCTAAGAATAAGATTCCAGGTAGAAGGTTTGTATTGAGTGGGTAGGGATTTATGAAACCTGTAACTTTTCGTTCTTCGTAATAACCAGAATACTTTTTATGCTTTAACTCTGAATATTTTAGAGTTCCACTTTTTCCTGGAGTAATCTACAGAGTAATAATCTGCTATGAGTGGAATTAAGTTCATTGTAAAATGTTGATGAAAGAGATCTTTTGGTCAATGTAACATAACCTAACAGTTAAACATATGCTCTTGAAGTTCTCGACGATATGTTACTGCATATGATCTTGGTGGTGAGTTCACTCACTTTACATTGTGTCAAGTGTATTTCTTTCTTGGCATATATTTATATTTGTCACAGTCTCTGCTGCGCTCTTGGCCAGGTTTATATATAAAAATCAATATATATCACAAGTATACACAAATATAGTACTTTGAAATATAAAGTTACATTTTTGCTTATTAGGTCAAAAGTGCAGTCGTGCTTTTCTGGGTTTTTTTTTCATCTTTGGCAACAAAAACTCTGCAACTATAAGTTGACTAGCCAATCACAATGAAATAAGTCACGCTTTACACTGAAACAGTATCACTTTCAGAGTTCTGTAGCTTTTTATTGACCACCACCAGTCATAAAAGTGATTCCAGAGATGTCAATAAATACAGCCTTCTTTTTATTTCCTTTTAATTTTGTGCAAAAACAGCATGAACTATTCCTGACCTGACCTAAAAAACATTAGTATTTTTTACCTGCGTCAGGAAAGAGGAGAAAGAGTAGAAGTATTATTAGTTATTACCAGCATGCTGCCAGCCTCTTTTTTTCTTTCTCGCAAGTATAGTTTCACTTTAGTTTGACTTTAAAACAATATGTCCACCAAAACAACCTGTTTAAGGAGTTACTACCTGATGCCCAGGTGCTGCCCATTTCCTTCTTTTACTTATTAACAGTTGACTTGCTTCTGATATTTTTCCAACTTGTTTGAACATAAAATCATTCAGCTGCTACTGAAAAACCACAATTCCCACACCCTAATTTTCCAGGAGTAAGTCATTTCAATTCACTTAATATCTCTGATGTTGCTTTGTCAATTTCTATTACTTATAATAGCAATAACATTCTGAATTTTTAATGCAGGATAAGAACTTTAGAGTTTATCATAATGCAGAGACCTACTCGTCTCTGCATTATGAGTACTTACTTTGATATTGTATGTGCCCTCTGTTAGGAAAGTATGGGGAGTAGGACTGTTAAGAAAATGGGGGAACTGTCATGATCCCTGCATTTTGGACCCCACGTTTGACATTGTGAGGTAATGTTTCCTTTGTATTTTTAAAAGGACAAAATATTTCAAAAGAAAAGTTTTGTTTCTTTTGTAATATTGCTTCCCTTGTGGCCTTAGATATATTTAGTTCATCATTTTCAACTAAGTATTGGTCCCTTTATAGTTAATATATAGTGTACTATTTGTTGAATGGCTGCTTTCATTTAATTCCCTGTGTTTACAAGTTTAAAAGCTTTGTCTATTTTCTGTGGCTCTTTTCGATTATCTTCTTAAGACTTATTGTATTCCTCTGAGTCTTTGGTTCGTCTTAGTTGTAGTTACTGTTTACACTGGGTTAGTACCCTGTTGTGTTCCTTGGTGTACTGATCTGCATTGCCCTGCATCTTTATGCGTTCCTCTGTCTTGTCTTTCTCTCCACCCTTATGCCAAGTTAACCTTTGTTTCCATTCAGTTGTGTCTTTCTGTTTTATTTTCTGTTGTTCTCTGTGTCTTCTGTTTTGTTTACTTCACCAGCCTGATAATGTCTATAGTAACAACATTTTTATACCTTTTACTTTTTACATTAAAGCAGATTTTTTTGTTTGAGTCATTCCTGTTTCCTGAGTCCTGCATTTGGGTCCGCCCTCTCACATGGTAAAATCCATGCTGGCTATTTTTCATCTTCTTTTCTTTTTCTTTCTTTTTTTTTACAAGTGTTTAGATTAACTTCAAGTTTGACTTACTTACATAACATTCTGTTGCTTTTGGCTTAAATTGATCTGAAAAACTAATATACTAGAAATTTGATTTGACTAAAATAAGAGGCCTAGATTTTTGGTAATGCTGACAAGTGTTGTGGAAACATTTTATGTCTTTATGAAACATTTGGATCTGACACAGTGGCTAACTGTTACTGATACTGTATTACTCATCTTGTTCTTTGTTTGTCCATAGAGGTGGTGCCACCTATCAATACACATTGTTCAGTTACAACTGACAAGGTTTACGGGTTCAAGGTGACCCTGTGGGGCATACCACCTCTATCTTGGTTAGCCAATAAGAAACACAACATGTTACCGTGTGGAACTGAAGATGATACCAAGATATTGCTGCAAATATAAGTAATCAGATAACACAGGTAAAATAAAATCAACACATAATTTTCAGAACTTCTCTGAGTTGCTTTGTCACAGTGTGGCCGGGTACTTATTCTAGCTCTTAAAAGATTCATGTGTGATGTATGCATAACTACAACTTGAATCACAACTATAGTCTGTTGTAGTACCTGCTCATCCCTAAGGTTACATTCTTGCCCTCATCTCAGCCCAGAGGCCCTAGATGTAGAGGACAAATTTATATCAAACCACAAGCTCGATGTTTTTAATGGATCTCTTTTGTTCACACTTTTAAAATTTCACCCTCACCTTTTAACCTCCCTCAGTAATCATTGTGTGTCGCTAAACTGAAATGGAGAAAGCATAACACCAACTCCTGCTAATTAGTTCATTTAGTTCAGGAATGGAGAAAGTTGAAAGGCAAATGGACACTAATTAAAAATGAGACAGCCTTCTCTACTTTATATGAATTTATAAAATAAACTACCAAAAAGCAGTTAAAGCTGCAAGATAAATAAGTATAATTCTTTTATATCATGTCATTTGTTCTCCAAGGAAGAAGTTTAAACCAGAAAATGACTGGTGCAGGGACTTGCACCAATATATTTCTACTTTAAGGAAATATAACACTGGGTACAAAATGTTAATCATTATCCTGCGGTCAGAATAGTTTCTCAGCTTAAGTTTTGCTTGTGCTATAGATATGTCAACCCAGTTTTTAAAGAGATACTATCTGCTGTTGCTCATTTATTTCTTTTACTTATTAACAGTTGGTTTGCTACTTGGTATTTTTTGCAGCTGGTAGTAAACTGAAAAATCATTCAGTTGTTACTGAGAACGCTTTTTGTGCGCTTTTAAAGCATTAGATTTAAAGTTAAAATAATATTGTTGTAAATCCATCCATACTGACATGAGGTTTTGTGTTTTTACTTTGCTGTTCATTCACCTCAAAACGACGCCTCTGTTATACCACATGCTGACAATATTTCAAATGCACAGCCTAATAATGCATAGAC